ATAGTATAACAGTAGGGATAAATTTAGCCGGATAATATAACGGAGGTTAAATATAGATAATGTAAAAGGGTATATTTGACCCTTTTCCCTTATGTATTAGTGTTCTGTAACATCATTTGTTATCACGTGAATCATAAGTAAATTTGAACCGTCAAATAAAAGAGCAAATTCAATCACGGGATGAATTTTACAAATGATGATATAATAATAATATTTTTTTCACCAAAATTATATAATAATATTTTCTCACAAAAAAATTATAAACTTTTAGTGACTCACATAAAAATCATAATGACCGAAAAAATAATTTTCCGACAATACTTTTCTTATTCCATATTATTTTATTCTTTATTTTCAGTCTAATAAATAATAACTCAATTAAAATAGAAATGATACATCCTAACCTAACCCACGTGACCCAATATTTATATACATAAATTAATATAATACTAAAAGGGAATCTCCCAAAACACGATACTTATTTTTATTTTAAAGATTTTTATTTAAATTGATAGCATTATTGTTCAAGAGCTCTCTAATTATTCATACTTTTTTTTTCTTCAAAATCTCATATATTCCAAACTAAGTATTTTTTGGTGAAGGATTCATTTTTGGTATTATTTTAATTTATGTACACTGGTATTGAGTCAGATCGGTTGGGTAATTCCTCTTTTAAGCGCAAAAAAAAAAACAATTGGCCGGTCGGTCGAAACTAATTGCATTCGCTAACCATAAAATGTGTAAAATATGTATATTATATGTATATAGTACACATATATCCGCTATTATTTTTGGGAGCTAAAAATATATATTTTTTCTATTTTAGTTGGGTTATTATTTATTAGACTGAAAAATATAATAATAAAAATGTGAAATAAGAAAACACTTGTGTGAATTAGTGAAAATTTTATTAATTTTGTGTGAGAAAATATAGATATATGACTTTAGTGTGAAAAAAACCATAATTATATGACCATTAGTAAAAATTTTCCCTCCCATTCCTTATTAAAAATATGGGATCTGAACAAAATCAATGAAACGAAAGGAAAAACTCTCATGTTTAAATTGTTTCGTTTCGAAATACTACTATCTCTGTTGATTGTTCCAACTCAACGAATTTAGAAGAAAAAAAATAGCTGGAATAGTGAAAATTTTTAATACAGTATTATTCTTTTTGCTGTGTTTCGCTATGAGTATATATTCAGTGCTATGATAAGTTTTATTAGGATCTATGATTTAAGGAGCTGTAGACTGTAGGAACCTTTTCTATAAATTTAAATAATTTTTGTCTCTATATCATGAGTTCGTTTTTAGGTAGGCCGGTTTTAGGACAGTGGTTAATTGATTGCCTTTTAGGTGGCGACATCGCTCGAGTCGAATATGGTCCTTTCGACTTGCAGAAAGGACATTATTTATTTGGAAAACGGCCAAATATACTCTTCAACCTTAAAGATATTATCAATATTTAACCTTCGTTATACTATCAGGTTAAATTTATCTCTATCGTTATATTATTGGGTCAAATTTACTCCTATAATCAGTAAACTTTTAAAAATTACCCCTCAGTCCGTCAGGTAACCCAAAATCTCCCAAATCATTTTAATTAAGTTACTGATTTTGCTTCTTAGTCCACTATTTTCAAAATAATTGACATTTACCTGCTATCTGAATTGGAAAAACCAATAAGATAAAAAATATTAAATAATACAACCGTTAATAAACAAAGTTTAGTTATTTGAAAAATCTAAATTAGGTAGTTTGTCTAAATTCTAAAAGTATTTACAACATTCCAATTTTAATGAATTCGTTGCACCAAATGTATGGGGACTTTGCAAGTATTAGTGATTGAAATTGAAGTTCCTCGGAGATTTTATATTGTCAAATTCAACTTTCCTTTAATCAAATGCCGACACATTGTGCACTCTTAAGTTAGTCGATCGAACTTTATACTAACCAGACAATGACAAGATATATTTGAATATAATACATGTACATACATGATGATCAGCTGCATATAATTCATAATAAATAGACCCACTGAATTCTAAGTGTGTATATGGTTGAAAAATAAAATAAAAATTTAAACCAATTCCGAAACCATTATTACAAGAAGAAAAGTTGGTGCATTGGTAATGAAAAATATTTATGAATGATTTGTGTAGTCTAGTAACTTTAGTATTCACATCAATAGTAATTTCAGAAAATAGTAGAGCAAGAATAATAACAAGTGATTTAAATAAAAAAAATTTGGGAGATTTTGGATTACTTAACATATCATAGGGTAATTTTTGAATGTTTGCTCATGATAGGGATAAATTTGGCCAGATAGTATAACGGTAGGGATAAATTTGACCGGATAACATAATGAATGTTAAATGTAGATAATATTCGAAAGTGGATGGATATATTTGGCCCTTTTCCCTTATTTATTAGTGTTCTGTAACATCATTTGTTATCACGTGAATCATAAGTAAATTTGAACCGTCAAATAAAAGAGCAAATTCAATCACGGGATAAATTTCTCAAATGGTGATATACTTATGATAAATCTTTTCACCAAAACTATATAATAATATTTTCTCACAAAAAAATTATAAACTTTTAGTGACTCACATAAAATTATAGTGACCGAAAAAATAATTTTCCGACAAATTTTTTTCTTATTCCATATTTTTTTATTCTTTAGTTTCAGTCTAATAAATAATAACTCAATTAAATTAGAAATGATACAGCTAGGGGTGTACAAATGAAACCGACAAACCGCACCAACCTGATAATCCGAGTCAAACCGAGAAAAAACACCCGACTATTGTTTGGTTTGATTTGGTTTGGTGTTGGAAAAAAATCCGACCATATTTGGTTTGGTTTGGTTTTAACTAATAAAAGTCAAACCGAAACCAAACCAACTCGATATTATATGTATAGAAATTTTAAATATATTTAATACATAAAAATATTTATTGTAGTGTAGTTTATAAATATTTCTTAAACTTTTTCTTAATTTTATCTTTTAACGTATTATTTCAAGCTTGGACTTATAATTTTTGGATGCTCCAATAAGTTTTATAGTCCATAAATATTAGTAACTCAAATAAATCCTCAACCAAAATCAAATCAATACTAATGCTAATACAATATTCAATTCAATTGTACTATGAATGAAAATAGTGTTGGATATCTATTTTTTAGTTTTTCCATGGTTTATATAAAATGTATAACTTATTTTTCTTTTAGTGGTTAGTCATGTAAATAATAGTAATTATTGGTCGTAATTTTAAATTATATTTTTTTTCATTATGGCTTATTAATAATATTTATTTTATGCAATTTTATTATCTTTATTGTTGAATATTTTAGTACAATGCCATGACTCATCTCATATTTATGTTATTTTATTGAAAACACTTTATATAGTTATGTCTTACTAGGATTAAAAAAATATTTGGAGCACAAATTTTATGTTTTGTGCTATGAAGACTTAATGAAAAAAATCAAAAAAATTCGAAAACCCGAAAAAATCGAGAAAAACCGAGATTAAAAAACCCCGACTTTTATTGGTTTGGTTTGATATTTAGATTTAATAACCCGATACAATTGGTTTGGTTTGGTAATTAGAAAATTCAAACCAACCCGACCTATGTACACCCCTAGATACAACCTAACCTGACCCACCTAACCCAATATTCATATACATAAATTAATATAATACTAAAAGGAAGTCCTTCAAAACACGATACCTCTATCTTTTATTTTTATTTTAAAGATGTTCATTCAAATTGATAGCATTATTGTTCAAGAGCTCTCTAATTATTCATACTTTGTTTTTCTTTTTTTTCTTCAGAATCTCATATATTCCAAACTAAGTATTTTTTTGGTGAAGGATTCACTTTTGGTATTATTTTACTTTATGTACACTGGTATTGAGTCGGATCGGTTGGGTAATTCCTATTTTAAGCGCAAAAAATTGGTCGGTCAGTCAAAACTAATTGCATTCGCTAACCATAAAATATGTAAAATATTTATATTATATGTATATAATACACATATGTCCGCTATTATTTTTGGGAGCTAAAAATATATATTTTTTCTATTTTAGTTGGGTTATTATTTATTAGACTAAAAAATATAATAATAAAAATGTGAAATAAGAAAATACTACTGAAAAGTTGTATTTTCTTGTCACTATGAATTTTGTGTGAATTAGTGAAAATTTTATAATTTTTGTGTTAAAAAATATAGTTATATGACTTAAGTGTGAAAAAAATCATAATTATACGACAATTTGTGAAATTTACACTTCAATCACCCGTTGTTTTTCTTATCAATTTTCTTTTGAGGTCTATTCTACAGAACTACTCAAATTGGATGGAACTAAACATGAACATTCTTATCCTTCTCCCTCCCTTTTCTTATAAAAAAGATGGGATCTGAACAAAATCACTGAAACGAAAGGAAAAACTCTCATGTTTAAATTGTTTCGTTTCGAAATACTACCATCTCTGTTGATTGTTCCAACTCAACGAATTTCGAAGAAAAATCACCACGACCATTTAACTAATCGAACGCTGAACTCCTATATAGCAACCAAAGGATACGATAAAAAGTTCTTTTACAATTCCATCTTATAGGGTAACGATAAATCAAATACTGATTAGACTTGATGCTTGCAAGTACTGTTCTTAACTGTAGCCATTATATACCAAATAAGTCAAAACAATCTAACTGTCGTTTTCAAATGACCATGCCGTTGTTAAATAGTAATAATTTAATCGAATTTCAGTATTTTCCTGCTAATGGTTATATGAATCATGAGATACTAAGGGCAAGAAAATCCACAACTTGAAACTATAGTAACTAATTTATTAAGTTAACGATATGAAAGAGAATTTCACTTTAACTTAGGAATTCAAGGTGCAATTTTGGCCTTCAAAGATAGGACGTTCATAGTAATTATCCTAATTAAATTCAAAAGTTTAACCAGATGGAAAAATATATAATTTCTAAGGTTGCTTCGGAACATCAGACTCAAAGCCAGGCACAATTTCAAGCCCACCCTGAGCCCGTAATTTGTCAATGTAACAACGAACCTCATGTGCTATCATACGCTGCATGATCGTCACCAAACATGTTTCTTCAATCTCCACCCTACATTTTTCCTCCTTCACTTTATTATCACCGTTGATCGGTGGCGGAACTTCATCCTTCACTATCTTTTCGTCAACAGCATGTGACTGTTGCAATCCTCCCCCAGGTAGCGACAAAGTCAGTGAAGTCTCCGGCCCATTACGGCCCAAATCATCAGCGTCCAGCCCATAACTACTCTGCTCCTGCGATGCACGAGAACACTGCCTCTTTGAGTTGGACTCTGACGATGACCCAGTCCTCGACTCATCCAAGCCCATAAGCATAGTCGCTGCTGCCGCTGCCGCAGCCTCCGGCGCGTGGCGCTTACGGCGGAGCGTGGAGTTCCAGTGATTTTTAATGGCATTATCAGTCCTTCCCGGCAAGAGTCGCGCGATTGTAGCCCACCTATTACCGTGAACAGAATGTGCCTGAAGGATGATAGCGTCCTCAGAAGGGGTAAAGGGACGGTGTTGCACGGCGGGGCTGAGCTGATTGCACCACCGCAGACGGCAAGACTTACCGGATCTTCTGGGAATGCCGATGCTTATTAGGGACCAATTTCGTGGACCATGTTGGTCCACTAGCTTGGTCAACATGGCGTCCTCTTCAGGACTCCACGAACCTTTGATCTTTTCACCAGTACTATTATCCATTGAATAAATTATCTGTTGTAGTATAAAGGGAAGAAGATGGTTAGGGTTTAGAAATAGAAAAGAAGGAAGTGAAGATGAAGATGAACATGTAAATGTAACATGATCAGCGTAACAATAACCGTAAGGAAAGAGGAGTTGTTGGCATGAAACGTAAACTGCTCGCATTGACGAAACCACTTCTAGTTGGTTTCTTTTTTGTTAGTTTGTTTGTTTGTTTCTAATACTACTAAAATACTGAGAAATGAAAATTTTATTTTCTTGTTTTGTTTGTTTAATGTCTGCATGGTTTGGCAATGAAACGTAATTTTTATTTATTTATTTCTGAATAGAAAAATCAGAAGTAATGAGTGAATCAAGTGAAAATTAAAGTAGGAAGAGGATGGGTAACTGAAACTAAAAGAATAGGTAACGGCTTTTCCTGAAAAATGCAAGAGGGGCGTTATAGAAGAAACTGCTGAGATTACGACCCCGAAACTGTGGCAGTTAGGTTTCTTCATTCGAAATTCCTCCTAACCATTTCCTACTATTCTACTACACAATTACTAACTAATACATTTTAAATTCTAATTCTTCATTAGCAACTGACTATATAACTTATGTAGAGGCTACATGTGTACGGTCAAAACCGATTCAGTCAGTCGTACGGACTGGTCAAGATGATAATACTTCGATCAAAGGGTATCTGCATGACGACAGGTCGATGTCCGAAGTAAGGGCGTCAAGCTTCAAGCTCTAAGACCGATCAATAACAAGCACTACTAAAAAACCGCCAATTTCCGATCGGAAAAAGTAGTCGCAAATTTCTGACGGAATCGGTCGGAAATTGCAATTAAATATATTTTTTAATTTTTAATAATAATTACGACTCGTATTCCGTCTATATCCGTTGTAAATTTTGGCGGAAAATATCGTGTAACTGTTAGCGACCAATTCGGTCGGAAATAATTAAAAAAGAATTTTAAAAAAATAAAAAAAAATTGCGACCGATTTGGTCAGAATTTTTTCATTAAAACGAGATTTGACTATTTGACCTATTTTCTGACCGAATCGGTCGGAATATAATTTTAAAACCCCCCGACCCCTTTGTTTTTTCTTTCCCTGTTTTCTTCCTTCTCTCTTCTCTCTCTCACACGCAAACCTCCCCTTCTCCCTCCCCCCACCCAACCCACCACTTATCATAAAGGACTAGGTTCATTAGGTTATAAAAATCA